TGCGATTCGCTGGTCGCGGGACGAACGCGATATCGATTTTCGTCGCGGCGATCGCCGCCGGCCGTCAAGGAAACGACGACGACAATGACCTTACTTCGAGCCGAGCGGGCACGAGAGGCGGGCGGGTTGCTTGGCCGCGAATCGCGCTCTGGAGACGACGACGACGACGATAAGTCACGGGACATTGTTCTCGTTGTTCGCTGGCGAGCTGACTTTAACGGTATTTTAATTTCACGACTTAGTCATTACGGAGAAACACCGAGCGGATCCGTCGGAAAAGTCGCGCGCACGGGACGCGATGACCTCCTTCGACACGCTCGTCCTCTCTCGCGCTCTCGAGGAAAGGATCCGGCTGCAAATTTGACAGGAAACCGCGTTACGTGTCTGTCCACTTTCCGCTCGCGGATTCTGGGCCATTCCCGGGTGGAGATGCTTCTGTTCTTTTCCGCCGTGCGCTTTGTACACTTTCTCGGGGTTTTCATTCTTTCTTCTTCCTACGCCACGAAGTCTGTGCACACGTGCGCGCATACACTGGCACACAGACGCCTCTCTTTCTCTGTTTGAGCGGAGAAAAAGCGCGGTGAAATACGGTTAAGAAGAACAGACCTCACGTCGAGTTTCGCGCTTGCGAGATCCGAGGAATGTCAGACAGAGAGGCGCGAGACCGAGAGGGGGAGGGGAGGATTCGATAAATTTGATTAGAAAGTTTAAATAGTTGTAACGCAAGCGTGTTTTCACGCGCAAACGTGTTCAGAGCAAACGTAGACACAACGCACATATCTACGCAGCACCGTGCAGTACACACAACAGGCACAAAATACAAACATGCGTGCATGCAGATTTTCCCGCGTGGTATTTTCAGATTTTAATAATTTATACGTATCATCTGTATCATATACAAAGTGTGTCTGAAAAGTCGAGGCGCACCACTCGCATACAGATGGACAAACTCGACAGGGAAGTCGTACACCATTTTGCAAATTTCGTAATAGTTGTTAAAAAATCAATTAAATAGTATGAGCGAATGAATGCATGAGAAGTGGTTGGGCAGATTCTGTAAGTATATATAAAAAGGGACTATTTCCAATTTGTAAGAAAAATCTCTTACTCTTCAAGGTTTCCTAACAGCAGGTATCAGCTGATAGCTAGAACGACGCATGACACAGGATCGTGCGTCGAAAAAAAGCTTCTCGCTCTATCAGCGGATACTCACCATTGCTAGGAGTAAAACACTTACGAAGAATAAAACATTTTTCTTGCAAAAGTTAAAAGCATAGACTCTGAGCATTCTCTGTTTTGGTCTTCAAACATGAATAAAGCCCCAACAAAGAAAGAACATACATACATACATTCTATGCTGAAAGTGCTAAGCCTTTATGGCTGTGAGTGTGAGTTTCAATAGCACACAGACATATTCTAGGGAATAATCATAATAATGCTGAATGTTTAAATTCAGTTCTGTTTAAAGACCAAAATAATAACGTCCAGAAGAACGAGATCGAAGGACAGATATATGCCAAGTCAGATACTTTTTTTATCACACATTATTTTAGAAGGAGGCAACGCAGGAAAAAGAGAGAGAAAGAGAAGGGAGAGTGAAACATGATGAAAGAAAGAAAGGACGCATTAATCATACGATCATTTCTTCTCTTTTGTTCTCTCCACCAATTAGACACAAGGACATCATCTCACTCTCTATTGTCCTCTCTTACTAATGCTGACTTCATCCCTCCTGCAGCAATGCGCAGTATATTCTATGAATGTTATTCATAGTCGGATCATATACTTAAAATTGTTTTAATTTCATCTTCAGATGCTATAACAATCGTTTCATCAGCTACAAAACGTAAGATGAACTTAAGGCGATAATAAATAGATCCGACTATGAGTACTATTCAACTTCACGGTTAGAGGTTATCTTTTTCTAAGACATGTGCGCACAAAAAATGTCATTCTATCACTAAGAAAAGCGATTACTTAGTTTACTTCCCTTCTTTTACGTAATCTTATCTTCAATAATATTTTCTTGATAATATTCTTAAAATATACTCGTCAAAGATGTTAGAAAAGCCTATTATCATACACTTAAAGGAAGAATGTATTCTCTTTACAAGAGTATTATAAAGTTTTGTCGAATAAAAAGTTGATTCCCCATTCTATGCAGAAAGTGTGTGTATGTGTGTAGAAACGTAAATTTTATTTAAATTTAATATTCTTGAAATACTAAGCTTCCTAGAATTCAGAATGCACTGTGAATAAATCTGATGTTTATGATAAACTTGTGATAGATTTGCGATTATATGTGATAGACTAGATTTACTTGAATGCAGCCTGTATTTTTCTTTGTGTGTGCCTACAGCTACACCGTGTCCCACCGCTTTCCCCGAGCGCTCATTCGCTCATATTGCCCGATTAGTTCCTTAGCAACTACTGGGAAATTTGCAAAATGGCGCACGACTCGCCCGTTCGGTTTGATCTCATCTGTACATGAGCGCCTTGCCTTGAATCGTCAGACACACTGTATATCAAACCGCACGTACACGTTGGTGGTGCGTAACGCTTGACGTGCGTGTGCTCGGAGAAGTACCGTGCGCGCGTCCGTATGCCAATAACTTTTCGCAATTTAGAACTCATGAAGTTATAAAAATAGCGGTCGTAGAAACGGATCATACACGCGAAGCCGGGGCTGCGCTCGAACGTAGCATCGCGTCCGGAGCCTCGTCTCGCTCGTTAACGCGCGTCTTCCGAGCCGGCAAATAGGGGCGCAACAACAATCGCTTTATCCGTTCATTTCGCCAGATCGACCGAACAAGAGGTACTGCTCCTCCTCCTCCTCCTCCTAGTGAAAAACCTCCCAGGCAAAACGCACACGCGGATTTTGCGATTTGACATTTCGCGCGTTTTCAATTAATCGCACGCGCGCGCGCGCGCGTTCCAATTTCCGCAGTTTCCACGCGGAATAGAAAAACGGATCGCGGTGAGCGGTGTGGGTCGAGATGTATTGTCAAACGAATCAGTGAGAATTTACACCTCGGCAGAAAAGCGGCAAACAGAAAGGCAGAAGCCAATGAGAACTCCACTGTTGCCGGTATGGTCGAGTGGTGGTCGGCAGTTTCTGCTTTTCCACCAGAAAACCAACGCGAGTTCTGACTGGCTTTTCTGCCCTTTCTGTTTTCCGCTTTTCCGTCAGAGTGTGAGTTCTCCCTGAGTGTTTCTTTCGCGGCAGAAAGCGCGCAACCGTCGCCGTCGGTGCGCCGTGCGCGCATTTCGCAAAGACATACACATATTGTACAAACGGGCGTGTGCATGTATTCGCATTCAATCCGATGCTTTCCCGATGCGTGCAGCAGCGTGCGACACCACGAGAGCATACATGCACAGAATCGTCTAATCCGAACTCGGTGCGAGGCAACGAGGCGTCGTTACGACAAAGACACGGTTCATTGTCACCAACGTCGCCTCAACGTCCCTGCCCTCCTCCCCTTCACCTCCGCGCCGATATATGTACCGTCGAGATCCAGACGCGCTTTTTCCCCGGCCCCGTCGAGAGCGACAAAGGATCCGCGCGCGCGTCGAGGCGCAGTAGACGCGATGAAATAAAAGCGAGTTAAAGCGCGAGAACACGTTTCCCCCGGCGCGGCTATATCTAATCCGACTGAGGCGAGAGATAACGAGGAGGCACAATCTCGCGGCGAGAAAACACGGTCCATTCACAGCTTCTCACTTATCTCGTCGGCACTCTCGAAGGCCCTCATTGTTATCGCGAAGGCACGCGCGGCCGCTTGTTTACGCGACGCGATGCGATGCGACGCGACGCGCGCGTTCGGTGTCTTCCGAACGCGCGAGAGAGCGTCGTACACCGACGAGATCGACGTCCGAGGACGCGCGCGCGAAGAGCGCGGCGCTCGTCTCAGCGCGGGGAACTTCCGGTTGCCGCGGAGTCGATTCGTCGGGAATCGACGGTGTCGCGGGAACAACAACGGCGCTCATTGACATTCCGATCGCGCGTTCGCGTCGAGGATCGCTTCCGTGGACGAGAGGAACGGAGAGAGACGGAGAGAAAGAGCGAGGAAGAGGGACGACGGCGTAGGGAGAGGGAGCACGAAGGAGATTTTTGCGCGCGTCGTTGTCGTCGACGTCGACGACGACGACGACGCTCGGACAGACGACCGGAGCGAAGAACAAAGAAGAGGGTAGTAGCCAGCGCGGGGGAGGGGAGGCGTGCATTTAACAACGAGAACGCACCGCTGGCGGCGTAGCCACCGCTGACGGTCGCGAAAGCGAGAGAGAGAGAGAGGAGGAGAGGAGAGGAGAGAAGAGAGGGACAGAGAGGGAGAGGGAGACAGAGCGCGAGAAAGAGAGAAATAAAGAAAGGACGGAAGGAAAGAAGAAAGAAAGGACAAAGGACGGAGAGCAGGCTGTCTGGCTGGCTAGCTGGCTGGTTCGTTGCTGAACTAGGTATCTATCTACCTAGCCAGCTAGCTATCTAGCTAACTCGGTTGGTCGATGAGGAATATATACGTAGTGCGCACGAAAAAGCTCAAGAATGACAACGTGTTGCCAGCCAGCCAGCCAGCCAGCCAGGCACAATAACGAGAGGATGCGAATTAACGAACGACGCCGTCATCGTGATCCTCATCGCGCGCGTTGTCGTTGTCATTGTCGTCGTCGTCGTCATCGTCATTGTCGTCGTAGTCGTCGTAGCGTCGTCGTCGTTGTCGTCGTCATCACCGTCCTCATAGCCGTCGCCGTCGTTCCCGTCCTCGTCCTCGTCACCGTGACAATCGTCGTCCTCGTCGCGAACACGAACGCGAGACGGCGACGATGAGGATGCCCGCGGTGACAGCCGCGCTTCGCGGAGGCCAGGGGAGCGAATCAGCTGTTCGCCTCGGCAATGACAACATTGGACACGCACGACCCCCCCGGACGTGTGGCACTTTGACGCGCGTTTCCACGGCCGCGTTTCGCTGGCGCGACGCGCCGCCACGGCGTTGACTTACCTCGAGCCTGGTGCGCCCGGAGTGTATCATCCTTTTGCGTCGCGTTATTTTGCAAAACTTCCGGGAGTACCCGCACGATGTGGTCGCGAAAAAAAAAAACGTCGCGCGGCCGAGCGAGTCGCTGTGCTTCGCGAGAGAAATGGCCGAGTCCTACTGAATGCCCGACGTGCGACGGCGTAGTGGGGGCCGCGGCGACGGTGCGCCGCCGCTTTCCGTCAGCGCCGCGGCGCCCGACGCGGCGGTTGGCCGCCCGCGCTCGACTTGACGACAGCGCGGCCAATCCGCGCGCCCGCAGCCATTGTTTACACGCTCGCGATTGGATCGTTATTTTCGTGGGAGCGCGTCCGCGCGACGTGCACCGACTGGTGCACCGTGCACCTCGCGTCGCAACAAACGGGAACGAGTGGCGTTTATTCTACGCCGCCGTGTGTCGCGAGAGCGAGGGAGACAGAAAGAGAGAGAGAAAGAAAGAGAGAGAGAGAGAGAGACAGAGCGCGCGGTTCCGACGGGAGGAATGAACGAACGGCGGAACGCGGACACGATCGAGCGTGTCAGCGCGCGCGCGAGAGAGAGAAAGAGAGAGAGTGAGACGGGAAGAGAGGGCGCGCGCGCGCGGTCGGTGTGCGAGGATATCGCAGGCAGCGACGTTACCGACATCGGATTGGCTGTTACCAAGCGCGCGGGTCGCGTGCGCGCGCCTCGCGCGTCCCAGATAAGCGCGCGGAGTTAAGATCAACGTGTGTTGCTAGGTCCGCTTTGATTCGCACTCTTCGGCTAGAGAGAGAGAACGCGGCCGGGAAATAACCCCGTTGACCTGGATTCAATTATGGCTTGACCGAAATATTTAATTTACGGCCGGGGAGGAGGAGAGGAAAACTCTGCGTTTTCGCGCGCGCGAATGTAAGTATGTGTATACGTGAATGTGTGTATCGATATCGAGATAGTTGAGTGACGCGAGATCTCGATGATTCAAAGCTTGCGTTGCACGCGCGCGCTAATGAGAGCGATTGCGTCTCTTTGGGCGTTCTCGAAGTCGGAACAGTAGTGACGGATCGGATGATACGTTCGTAATAGGCGCGTAACAGACGTGCCGATAAGTGGAATGTCCATGCAATTAGATCACGCCACAGAATCGCAGTTTGTTCCATGGCGAATACGACGCGGCTCGATGAGGACATTGCTCAAGATAACCGATGATAAATGCCGTTTGATCAATCGATCACGAGGCGCAAATAATACACGCTTGGGAAAACCTGGCCGCGGAAACTGTTATTTCCCGGGCTATGTCATTGGAAAATTTCTCGTCAATCTTGCACTTACTTTCTCGCGCCTTGTCACGCGTGCATTTCGCGCTTAAACACGCCTTGCCGTCGCATCGATAGACAATTGCGGCAAACTATCGACAATGTGCGCCGTAAAGTTAAATGTTCCAATGACTGAACCAATAAGAAAGCACGATCAGTCCATTTTTATTGGTCAATTTTTATTGATCAATAATTAGTGAAATTACTAACTAAAGTCACGTTTATGTAAAACTTTGGTTTGTCAGCAATGGAAAAATAAAAAAAAAATAAATATCAATTACAATTTTAATGAGATATTAGACAAGGCCGGTTGTACCAATAATTAAACTGAAAAAGTCACGTTCTGATCACGAAATAAGGCAGATTGAATGCTCATTAAATAATATTGCATATTGCCATAAAGACATATCTTTTAACAAAATTGCAAAGGCTCTTTCAGAAATATTAAATATAAATACGTTATTAATGTTTCAAGAAATTACACTTTAGCGGTAAAGCGCAAAGCCGAAAGGAGGAAGCCAATCAGAACTCGCGTTAGTAGAAAAGCAGAAACTGTCGATTATCACCTAACTACTGACGCCCGAGTTCTGGTTGGTTTCTGCCTTTCTACTTCCCGCTTTTCTGCCACGGTGTGAATTCTCCTTTAATCATAGAACTTAACGAAAGCTGGGGCGGGCTGCTTGTCGGAGTTTATCAAAGTGTTGCATCGACGCATCATGAAGCTCGATTCAAAAAGAGAATATGATATTGGCCATGTGTCACCTGCGAACGAATTATTACTTCCGACTATACGCTAATCATTCCGATCGGATCATCGATCTCGCGTGAAGTATGTGACTTTTAGCACGTTGAGCGAGGCGCAAGTGCACCATCAATACAGTCTCATCTCGAGAAATCGAGATATTGAATCGTTCAGTCAAGCACAAAAAATCTAAATATTTGTGCATTATTCGAGCAATAAGCATAGCTACTCCAAAGCAACGATCTGTCACCATGTGTCGGTTTGACAGCTTTATAGTAACTTATATAACATGAAATGTGAACGAGCAACAGATTGGTAACCTAGTTTAATAAAGAGATATTTCAAAATGATATAAATAGTGAAATGGAGGCAGAGAAGCAACAGGAAAAGGCCACCACGTCGTAAGTGCCGAAATTAGTTCTGAGTGTAGAAATAATATTTGTGTAAAATTACTCTTAGCACAGACACTGGCGCACAGTGTGCAAAGAATCTGTTTTCACGAAAAATAGCCATTTTATGAAATGTAACAAAAAGTTTCTCTTCTTGCAAACCAAAAGTATAGTGTCTGAAATAAGATAAAACGCATAAATAACAAAAATTTTTTATCCAATATCGACCTGGCAGTTCCAGAAATTAGAGCGAAATTAGAATTGTTGTGCGAGTAAAATCGTACCTTCATTAGAGGCTCATATTCTTCGTGTATATTTTGGTATTTTTCATATACATACTATAATCCAAGTTATCTAATAAATTACGTGATATGATGGAAATGTTTAGTTATGTCACTGCATTGAGTCACATTGTGTTAATTATTTCTTCGTTATTTCCACAGCGTTTGTTAAGGAGTTAAGGGGATGCTGTAGCGAGCGACGAACTTGATAAGCGTCGATAATGTAGAGCGATCATCAAAAAGCAGAAAACGTTATCATCATTTACCGATGATATCGAATTTATGTACACATATGTATAGATACTTATGGAATAAAAACGATCATCAAATAGGCGCTAACATGATACCCCTATCATCTTTTCACAGATGTTATGCAAGTATATGTGCTACGTTGTACATTTCAATTTTCTTACACATAGTTATATAATTGTGAATACCACGTTGCCATTCGTATTCTTTCCAAAATAGACTCTTGCTACTTTTCTGATGAATTCTTCAAACTGCTTGTCTACTGGGTGCATCAAAGAAAGAGTTTTTAGAGAAGAGTGTTGTAGGCGCAAGCGTAGTTTGCGAATAACTTTTTGAAGAATATGTTATCTATTATTTGAGTTTCAATATAATTAGCAACAGTAATTTGAGATATCATTTTCATTTCGCACTAACCAATGTTACACTTTATTTCCGCACGTAATTTTATCATATAAATTATAGCAGTCAGTACACTGTAATTTTTGAAAAATAAAACCAGTGTCACGACAGCAATAGTTCCGCATCGTTTTCATCTTTGAGGCAGGAATACCTTATTTCATTCATGCATGTATCTTTAATATAACAAAGCATTTTTAATTTGGTCAAGTCAACAAAATAAAATTTTTTTTGAAATGTCGACGTGATACCCAATACGTTTGCAAAACTTTGTTTTCTCAACCAAATTAAAAACTCATTTGCATGGTGAAAGTACGTGCGAAAATGAAGCGAAGAATCCCATGTGATCCGGGAGATGCACAGCGAAATAGTCAAACTTCAGGTAATTTCCTAAAATACATCATTGCGAACGCGAAATTTACTTAAAAAAATTGAAAGATATTATCCCAGAATACGCTTTAGATGCTAACATTATATGACCAAAATAACCTGCAATGACATGACAACAATTCGGCCCAATTCGACTCATCTCACTTTGGGATTTTTGGGATAAGGGGAAATTATTTTCGAGATTCTGGGTGTGCTGCTGAGGATGGAGAATGGAGTGACACAAACATACATTGTCACCCAGGAGACGATACAGTACGAAATAACCTAACGACAACTACGAAAATATATTTCTTCAAACACGAATATTAGTTTAAAATCGCTAAAAAACAATCCCAGAAGGTGTTCTACATGCTAACATTACATGACATAACTTGCATTAACATGACCGACTTTAGGCCTATACGTAGAAAAGGTACCACTGTGCATGCGCGAGAATTCCTATGTATTACTATGACGGATCTAACGTTATGGGGGCGATTTTGGGATGGTGGAAAAATATTTTCAAGGAATTGGGTGTGCTACTGAGGCAGCAGAGTTACACAAACACGCGTTGTCACCCCAGAAACGATACAGAACGAAATAAGCATATCTGACGTAATTTTCAAAAATAGACATTTTCAAGGGCGAATGTTCCTTTAAAAAACCCTAAAAAACTATCCGAAATAGTGCTCTCTACGCTAACGCGAAATAACTTATAACCTACCATAACATAGCCTACTTTCGGCGTATACGCAGAATAAGTATCACTGTGCATGCGCAAGAATCCGTATGTGCTACTATGACGGATCTAACGTTATGGGGGTGATTTTGGGATGTAGGAAAAATATTTTCAAGGTACTGGGTGTGCTACAGAGTCACACAAACACGCGTTGTCATCCCGGAAACGATACAGAACGAAATAAGCATATCTTACCTAATTTTCGAAAATAGACATTTTCAAAGGCGAATGTTTCTATAAAAAACTCTAAATAACTATTCGAAATAGTGCTCTCTACGCTAACGCGAAATAACTTATAACCTACCATTACATAGCCTACTTTGTAGTTCACACAAGACTTGGCACACCCTATTAAAAAATGTGACATTTTTTTAGAGTTCTGATACTCTCTTGAAAACTTCTAGTGCTCTATGCAACAATTTTAAATAGTTCCGTTCATTAAATACAAAAAAATAAACTTTCAAAAAAAGGTGCGCTAAGTTCTCGCAGCGCACCTAATCTAAAAAACTATTTAAATTAACTATTTCTTTACAGTTCCGGTTTGTTTTATAATAGTTCTAGGGTTCTATATCATATATAACAATAGTTCTAAAGAAATAGTTGATTTTACAGATTAGGTGTGCTGCGAGAACTTAGCGCACCTTTTTTTAAAAGTCTATTTTTTTGTATATAATGACTGGAACTATTTAAAATTATTGCAAAGA